CCCACACACACACAAACACACCCGCCGCGTCTTGCCTAACATCTGCAATGGGGAAGCCGGGTAGGTGAGGCCAAAGAGTGGGGGGAGAGATCAAGACCCAGTCTCCTCTGCCCCCCCAGCTACAAATTGCGCCAGCAGATCCAGCAGCACAGTTTCCTGACCCGCAAGCGGATCCGGAGGAAGTTCCATAAGTCCCTGCAGAAGAACACACACAAACACACCCGCCGCGTCTTGCCTAACATCTGCAATGGGGAAGCCGGGTAGGTGAGGCCAAAGAGTGGGGGGAGAGATCAAGACCCAGTCTCCTCTGCCCCCCCAGCTACAAATTGCGCCAGCAGATCCAGCAGCACAGTTTCCTGACCCGCAAGCGGATCCGGAGGAAGTTCCATAAGTCCCTGCAGAAGATCAGCAGCTGCAAGCTGAAGTACCTGATGGACCTGGAGAAGCGGGAGAAGACGTGGGCAGTGGAGAGCTTCCTGGGGCGCGCCCCCCGCGGTGGTGAGTCGGGCCAGGAGGAGTACGGCATCTTCTGGAGCCACAGCGGAGACGAGGTGAGGCGGGGGGATGCACAAACCTGGGACCCCCAGGGCTTTGCTGGGGGGATTCCACCATGGGCGCCTGAGATGGGCCGGGGGGGAAGGGCTGTTGCTGCCCCACACTTTTTAAACAGGGGTGCTGGAACAATTGGCACAATGTGTGTGTGTTGGGGGGGGGCTGAGAGATATTGACCCAAGCTGTAAACCCTGGATATAATGGAAACCACTTCGAACTGGGGGGGCTGCAGCTCCCCTTGTTCCAGCCACCCCCCTTTTTGTAGCCCTTTCCCCACCTCTGCATTGAACCTCAACAAGGTTGAGTTAAATGAGTCTCTGAAACCTACAGCAGCCACTAGAGGGGGATCACAGCCCTGCCGGCGTCCATGTGGGTCACTGAGGAAGGGAATCACGAGGAAAAACCAGACGGGTTTTCGTTTCCTGTTTCTCATTTGCAAAATTCAGCACCTGTCTTGCCTGCTCTTTCCCGGGGAAACAACAGTCCACTGGAGATCGCAGAAGCCTCTAGCATCTGGGAAACCAGACCAGGAACGTCCCCTCCCCCTGCTGCCTATGCCTCTGTGCATTATATTTGTTCTTTCTTGCCCACTCTTTAATCCCACCACCACCCCAGCCCTTCACTGAAGCTCCTGCGTTCTCCGGGAAGCCCAGGGGCAATAAGAATCGCCCCTCCTGCTGCGTCTAAAACCTGGGTCCGAGGCTCAGGGGACATTTCGGGTTGATTCTTCCTGCCCCCGCAGTAGGAAAACGCTCCGTTTGGAGACCCAGTTCTTCACCTCTCCTCCCCCCTCCCTGCCCCAGAACCGGCAGCCATTCTGCGACTTCCCCGAAATCGCCGACATCAGCATCAAGCAAGTGAGCCGGGATAGCAACCCCGTGGAGAACCGTCTCGTCACCGTCACCAAGACCGATAACAGGATCCTAGTGAGTGGGGACGGGGGAGAGGGGAACCTCAGTCCTGCCCCCTGCTGGTCCCTTTGGGGTTCACAGATGTCACGGGTCTTGGTGTCCTTTCCTGGAGCTGTAGGGGAAGGGACCTCGAGGGGATCTAGGTAGGACCAAGTAACCTCGACCATCCCTGACCGGTGTCTGTCCAACCTGTCTTGAAATCTCTCCAGAGATGGAGATTCCACAAGCCCCCCTGGGCAATTTATTCCAGTGTCTCACCACCCCGGACAGTTGGGAAATTTTTCCTAATGTCCAACCTAAACCTCCCCAGCTGCAGTTTAAGCCCCTTGCGGCTTGGCCTGTCCTCCGTGGTTGTGGAGAAGGATGTGTCTTTGCCATGTGCTTGCACCCTGGCATCAGGTCTCCCCTCCCCCAGTCTTCTCTTCTCCTGACTAAACAAACCCTGGTTTTTCGTCCTCCTAGCAGGGGTGTACCTGTGGGCGGGCTGTGGCTACCCACGTAGCATGCCGGCCCACCCCCTGGATCCACAGGCAGGAATTCCCAACCCAACCAGAGCTCAGCGTCCGTATCCCTCTCCTGCTGGGCCAGGGTCAGAGGCCAGAGCAGCTGCATGTGGGGTGCCGGCAAGAGCGGGGCACAGCCGGGTGGATGGACACCGAGCCGGGGTCCGGAAAGGCAGACAGAGCTCACGCCCCACCTGGGTCCCCTTCTGCTCCATGGACGCGCCCTGCAGTCTGTGTGACCCAGTTCCATATTCAGGTGGGGGGAAGGAGCGGGTAAGGGCCAGCTAGAGAGGGGGGGGGGACACGGTTTCCTGTCCCCCATCTTTGCCCACCCCAAAAATCAGGGATCACCCAGTTTTCCGGTCCTAGCTACGCCACTGCCTCACAGGTCACGTGTTCTTCATTTTCACTGCTCTCCCCTGGACACCCACGACCGCTGCCCGTTCACAATCCCTTCCCCCTGCAATTCTCAGCCTGTTTCTCCCTCTTCATCGGGACCAAATCTGCACCCTCCTCCCCTGCTCACTTCCCCTGCCTTCTGCAGTGAAACCAGGTCTCCGTGGCACTGAAAGAACGTGTTGGATCATCCAGGCCTGGCTTTAATATCCCCCCCCCCCCAGGTCTGGGGAGCTAAGTCCCCTGTCACCACCACGTCCTCGGCTTTGGAAGATTTCGTTAGTCGTTTATGACCAAGCCCCATCCACCTCTATTTTCTAGCTTGCAAGCCCAGGAATACTGTAGCAGATCCCCCCCCCATGACATCACCCCTTTTAGCCTTAGCCAGGAACACAGTCCACCCCCTCATTTGCCTTTTTTGCTGCAGTGCCTCATTGTTGACTCCTTCCACTCGTGATCCACCATGGGTACTGGCGCCTTTTCTACAGCCCTGCTGCCTGGCCACTCGGTCCCATTTTGTATTGGTGCCGTTGCAGTAATTTTTTTCTTTTGCCCCGCCCCCTTTTGGAAGTGGAGGATGACGGAACAAGAAAGAACCAAAGTAAAGTCTCTCTAAGCACACCAGTGCTGGGGAGAGCATGACATGCACATCTCCTCTCTCGGGTCTGCACTAGGCTCTATGCAAAGTGGGCTGCAGCAAACAGCTGTCTGCTTAGAGCTTGAACGATCTACGGGCCGGACAGCGTAAATGAAGCCACAGCTGTCACCGTACAGGTCCCCCAGCTCCTGGAGAACCGGCACCCCCATTCTCTCCCCCTCCCTCCTGCGGTCAAAACTGGTCAATTACAGGGAAACAGCACAATGCATTGGCCCTGGTTCCCTGCCCCACGGCCGGGGCTCACTGCACTGGCTTGGCCTGGCCGAAGCGCTTGTGCAGGGCTGGGTAATAATTTTGACCGGGGGCCACTTCAAAAATTTTGGAGGGGGCCCCGGGCCACCCTGGAAGGGGCGGGGCCTCAGGCGAACAGGCAAAGCCAGGGCACTTCCATGCCCCGCCCCCCCCCGCCCGAGAAACACCAGCTGGAGGTTCCCTCTAGGAGCTGGAGTTCCTGGCAGCGGGAGGAGACTTCACACACTCGCCCCTGCTGCCCCCAGGTCAATCAGGGCCTGGGGGGTGGAGCAGCGGCAAGCCCCTTTGCCCACCCCTGTGCTGGTGGGTTAGAAGGGCTCTGGCTTGGCTCAGACTCCAGCTGTGCCCCCCGCTGTCTCTCTCCGCCCCCCCGCAGGGGGGGGAGCTCCCGACACTGCCCGAGGCCTGACGGCAGCCGCCCACCATTACTTCTGCAAGGAAGTGGCTCCCCCCCGGCTGCTGGAGAACATGGAGAACCAGTGTCACGGACCCATCAAGTGAGGATGGTGGCACGGCCGAGTTAGACGCCAGCTCTCCCGCCAACCTGGCAGCACCCGGCTCTAAATTCCAGGGGGAGGGCGGTCCCAAATTCCCTTTTCTGGGAAAGATCAAGGATGCGTTTAGGTAGGACCTACACAAAACCAATGCTTGTTAGCTCCCCCTTTTGGCTCCGACAGGGCACCGCACTGGCTCGGCTCACCACTGAAAGAGGAGGGAGATGATGCCCACACCGGGGAAAGGGGTTTTACAGAGGGGAGTATTCCTACCTCCGCGAAGGAGCGTGGTGTAGTGGTTAGAGCAGAAGAGGTCGTTAGGACTTCTGGGTTCTGTTCCAGCTGCCCTTCCGCATGGAGGAGGCGGAATCCGGAAGGGAGGCGATAGCCTGTTCTGAAACCCCTTCATTGCACATCCAGCTTCACGTGGCCTTTGGAAACCGACCCAACACTCACCGGGTGCCGGGTGCCAGGGCGGTCTGCGGTATCTTAAAGGGACTGTACCAAGCGGCTCTGCTTGGCGCCTGGGATCCTGGCGCGGGGCCTGACCCTGGGCTGGGCTTTGCAGGTCCGAGTTTGCCGTGGAGAAGCTGAAACTGGCAGGGAGCAGCGAGGGGCTCTACCTCCTCCGACGCAGCCCGCAGGACTTCGACAGCTACCTGCTCACCGTCTGCATCAAGGTACGGCGTCGCCGTGAACGGGGCCTGGCCCCAGCTGGGGAGCACGGGTGTGGCAGGCAGCTTCCCAGAGTGTATTCCTGCTTCCCAGCCCTGTGCCGGGGAGGTGGGGTCTGCCCCCGGGGCTCCAACTCCAGGTGAGCATGAGAGTCCAGTCCGGGATTCCCCAGTGACCATCTAGGCTGGGCAAGGGTCAGGCTGAGTCGGCCAATCAGAGAGAGGATCTGGAGTGGGCCTGGGCTTCCCTGGAACAGATACTGAAAGACCTGGCATGGATTTCTCTGCCTCCCTGGACTGGACAGTGGTCCCATCCCCAGCTGGAGCGTTACGGCCCCCCATTGACCGGTGGCTATTTGGGGAGCAGGAGGGCCGTGCCGTGGAGCTGAGGAGGCCCAGCTCCTTGGCCGGAGGGCCCCTTGTGGCTGAGGAATCCTTTGGCTCACACTCTCGTTTCTGCCCCGGGCCACGCAGACGCCCTTCGGACCGGACTACAAGGGCTGCCTGATCCAGAGGGACAAGGAGGGGGGCTATGCCCTGTCCGGCGTCGCCAGGTGCTTCAGCAGCCTCCAGGAGCTGCTCCGCACCTACCAGCACTGCACCCTGCACGCCGACGGGCTGGCCCTGCACCTGGCCACGTGCTGCCCTCCCCGGCCCAAAGGTAAGGCCCGAGCGGGCCACCCCGGAGGGCATCTGGGGGCGCCACCTGGGTCCAGCCACGGGGCACATGGTGGGTGGGAGCCCGGGTCTGCCCGGCCAATGGAGGGGGAGGAGAGAGGACCCTAATGGCAGCACAATGGCCTGTGATGTCACAATGGTGGGTGTGGCCAATAGGGGGCGTGGCTCTGCCCTGTGTTGGCCACACCCACTGCCGTGACAGCCCCGCCCAGAGGTGCAGCTGGGCCCGTGGGCACTCCAGCTCGCACACGGAGCCGCGGGAGACGGTGCAGGAGGACGAGGCGAGTTTCTCCCATCCCAGAGTCTGTCTGCCTTCCGCCCCACCCCAAGCGGTGCACATCCGAGGCCAAGCCCCGAGGCCAATGCTGGGAGCCCCCTCCCTTCTTCCGCTGACCCCCGGCAGGGCGCCTGGGTCAATGACATGGCGAGACCCACCCCCCACTCACCCCAGCCGGCCCCTTCCTCCTCCTCCAAGAAAAATCCAACCTGCTGATCGTGCGAGGCAGCTGCTGCCAGCTCCCTGGTTCCCCCTGCGCCCCCCGCCGCAGCGTCAACCAGATGATGTTCCACAAGATCCAGCCGGAGCACTTGACGTGGGTAAGGAGGGGGTGGGGTAGGGCCCACACCAGGGTCTGGCTGGGCAGCTCCGCCTCCCCCGTGCCTCAGTTTCCCTCCGTGAAGTGGGGGGTGCTGTGGGACAAGGCTGAATCCTTTGGCTTGGGGCTGACAGGAGGAGCTGATAGGCCCCGTGCATGGCAAAGGGAGACAGGCAGTGGGGACCCGCACTGCTCTGATCCCGCCCGGCCTGGGAGAGGAGTCAGACACTGGGGTGAGGGGCACAAGGGGGCTGGGATTTCCAGAGGAGGCTTGAGCGAGTTAGGTGGGCACTGCAGCAAGGGAGGAGACACTGCAGCAGGGAGAGGCCAGTGGTGAGAGAGATCAGAAGCCATGGGGATGGGCAGGGACTTCTTTATACGACTGACCTTACCCTGGGAAAGGCAGGTCCCCTCGGCCTAGGGGCTAGGTTCCCCAGGCAGGGGCTGCTGGAGGATTGTGCCCTGGCTAGGAGGAGCCCGGGAATGACCCAAGGTGGCTGAAGGGGCATGGGGGTGCCCCTCTTTATTTATTCCTCCCCCCTCCCCCATCTGTTCACTCTTGCCTGCAACAGGGCGAGAACTTGGGCCAGGGATCCTTCACCAAGCTTTACCAAGGCTTCTGGCAGGACCAAGAGGATGAGGAGAGCCACAAGACCCAAGTGCTGCTGAAGGTGATGGACGCCAGCCACGGCAGCTGCTCTGAGGTGAGGCCGGGGGTGGCCCGGGAGTGGGGGAAGGCAGGGTTCCCTGCAAGCGGAGCGCTTGGGCAGCCGCTCAGGAGAGATTCAAATGCTGCCTGGCTGATTAGCAGCACCACTGGCAGCGTATGTTTCTATTGGTGGTGCACATCCGCACCTGCCTCGGTGCACAAAATAAAATTTATTCCACACACGGTTGGAAAAAATGAGAGGGAATGTTGGTGGGGGAGCAGACGCCCTGGGCTCCCTGCAGTTCCGCCCGTGCTAGCCTAGCGAGGGCAGGGGGAGCGTATGTGCAGCACTGCACTGTGCTCAGGGGGACCCTGCTGTGGTTGAAGGATTCCTGGGGACTCCGGTGCCTGAGTGAGTCCCCTGGGCTCTGCTCCCTGCATCCTCACCAAAGAGCCAGGAACAACCAGGCTAGCAACGGGGAAACCACCCTGCCCTGCCCTCCACTGGGCATTCCCGTTGGCTCGGCTGCTCCTATTCCACCAGCCAGCTGGGGGGCACCAGGGGATGGGCGTGCCCACGGACCAGCCGCCTTCTGCCCCAGCCAGCGTCGGTTCTGCCCCAGGCCCCCCAGTCCAGAGCTCCAAAACCAGAGCCAAAGCAAGGGGGTATCCTGGGGGGGCCCAGCCAGGCTGCTCACCCCGGTTCTCCCTCCGTTCCAGTCCTTCCTGGAAGCCGCCAGCGCCATGAGCCAGATCTCGCACAAGCACCTAGTCCTGCTCTACGGGGTCAGCATCGGGGAAGACAGTAAGTGGCGGCCCCCGCGGGGGCTCTCCAAGGAGGCTGCCCAGCCCAGCTCGGCGCGTGTCCGTGGCGGCCCCCGCGCTGGGAGTCGGCTCTGGCGCGTCACTGCGGGGAGGCCCCATTAGGCTACATCCACCCAGATACCTCCGGCACCCCGAAACAGCGATCCCGCCCCCTAAGAGCAAGCCCGGTCTATGGAAATGCACCAGGCGCGCTATTCCCATGTCCCCGTCCGTCTCAGCGGGTTATTTCGAAACAGGCGACGCGGTTTGCGCAGCAGAAACTGCGTCGCTTATTTCAAGGTTTGGGGGGGCTGTGGAGACGCCCCGTGACCGTTGAGGCGCCCAGGCGGCTGACTGGTCAGTTTCACTGCCGGAGAACGGGACCCTGGTGTCGCATCTCTGATCACGTGGTCACCCAGGTAGTCCTGCTCTAACCACTAGGCCGCTCTCCCTCCTAGAGCTGGGAACGGAACCCAGGCCTCCTGACTCCTAGCCCCTCACCCACTGGCTTCACCCTGCTCCAAGGGGCTAGGGAGAAAACCCTGAGTCCCTGCCCCTGGCTCTAACCACGTCCCCTCTCCCAGCTCTCGGGCCCCACCCTGCCCCCAGAGTGGGGAACACAGGAGTCCCGATCCCCTGTTCCAACCACTAGCCCCCCCTTGTACCCTCCTGCAGGATCCGAGTTGGCCAATCTGCAGCATTAAAACTGGTTCCAGTCCCCCCAATTCAGGTGGTGAGAGTCACCAATCCGACTCACTAAAGGTCTTAGTTGGAAAGCAGCGTGAGGCGCGGGAGCTGGGGGTCAGGCCTGGGAAGGGGGCAGGGCCCAGTGGGGTCTCCTCCCAGCCTCTGAACCAGGAGGGCACCCCGAGGACACTCCCCCCCAACCCTCTCGCAGGTCCTGGGTTTTTTTCCCTGGTTGCAGTTATTAACTCAGCAGCCTCCCCAGCCAAATCTCCTGATCCCTGCTCCCCCCCACCCCACAGGCATCATGGTGCAGGAGTACGTCCGCTATGGGGCCCTGGCCCCCCGAGGACCCCCCCCCCCCAACCCTCTCGCAGGTCCTGGGTTTTTTTCCCTGGTTGCAGTTATTAACTCAGCAGCCTCCGTAGCCAAATCTCCTGATCCCTGCTCCCCCCCACCCCACAGGCATCATGGTGCAGGAGTACGTCCGCTATGGGGCCCTGGACACATACCTCAAGAAGCACCGGGCTGGGGGCCAGGTGGCAGCCAGCTGGAAGCTGGAAGTGGCCAAACAACTGGCCTATGCACTCAACTTTTTGGTAAGCCGGCGGACGACCGGGGGCCAGGGTAAGTGCGTTCCATTCCTCCAGCTCCACACATTTTGCAAGGGGAGGAGGGGGATGATCAACCCACTTGACAGATGGCAAAACTGAGGCCCGAGGCAGGGCAAGCCACTTACCCAAGGTTCCCCCGCTGCAGAGCCTGAAACAGAAGCCAAATCCTCTGAGTTCGAACGCCGTGCGCGAGGCTACCCTGCCTTAACAGCCGGCTTGCCTTCCCCCCACCCTGTATCTAGGGTTGCAGGCAGCCTTAATGCCCCCTGCCAGGCAGCCAAAGCATTGGACTAGGAGCTGATTGGGCCCACCTGATCTGGCTGCTGGGGTGAGTCAGCAGAAACAGCTCTGCCCGGGTGCCTCCCAGATGGCTTCAGAGCCCCAGTTTCTGCTGGAAAAGGCAGAGGAGCGCGGGGGGGACGTAGCAGCGCCCTGGCCAAATTGCCGGGGGTAGAGGGAGGCGCAGAGGCAGCGGGGCTGTTCCCGGTGGCCGGGGTTTGCGGCTGACCGCCTGGCTCCTTCCCCAGGAGGATAAGAGGATCACGCACGGCAACGCCTCCACCAAGAAGGTTCTGCTGGCCAGGGAGGGGGACGCTGCCAGGGGCAGCCCCCCTTTCATAAAGCTCGGAGACCCCGGCGTCAGCCTCGCCATGCTGGCCAAGGAAAGTAAGTTCCCCGAGGGTGCGCTTGCCCCCATGGGGACCCATCGGGGCTTTCTCAAGGGCCCCCGTCGCCGGAGTATCCGGGTCCCTCTTCATCTGCAACAGTGTCATCCACCCAGCCCCTTCTGCATGGCAGGGCAGGGCGCCGATCCCCCTGTGCCCAGAGGGGAAACTGAGGCACGGGCAGCTGAGGCTCAGCTTTGCACCGACAAGTGGAGTTTTGGCGCCACCCTGTGGGAGATCTTCAGCGGGGGCACCATGGCCACGAGCAACCTGCAGCCCCGCCAGGTGAGTCGGCCCCTCTGCCCCTGGAATCCCCCCTTCCCGTGCGTCGGAGCCACGAGGCAGCCCCCGGGGGGCCCCCTTCCTCTGCTCCTGCCCCGTCGGCGGCTGGGATTGACAGACCTGGAGATGCAGGACAGTGGAGGTTCCTCTGGTTGGCTCAGGGCGATCCGAGGGAAGGCACGAGCAACCTGCAGCCCCGCCAGGTGAGTCGGCCCCTCTGCCCCTGGAATCCCCCCTTCCCGTGCGTCGGAGCCACGAGGCAGCCCCCGGGGGGCCCCCTTCCTCTGCTCCTGCCCCGTCGGCGGCTGGGATTGACAGACCTGGAGATGCAGGACAGTGGAGGTTCCTCTGGTTGGCTCAGGGCGATCCGAGGGAAGGCCTCAGTCAGCCCCTTCCCCCCCCACATCGCAATCGGCTTCAAAAGCCTCAATTAGGGCTCATTCCCGTTGGCCTGGCGGGGGGCTAAGCCCCTCGGGGTCCCTGCCTCCCGCGTCCCTCGCCCGGCAAAGGCTTCGCTTTTTGGTTTCCCCCACCGGAAGCTGAAATCCCCAGGACTCCAGGAGCTGGTGCTTTATGTACAACTCCCAGGAGCCTGCAACTGACGAGAAAGCCAGGCTGCTTCAGCCCTCGGGGGCGGGGAATTAGCTGGAAGGAAAGCTGCCCTTCCCACCGCATCTTGTTTTTCCCGACTCTCCTTCCCCTGGCTAGAAACTCCGGCTCTACCAGGC